TCCCGGTCAAATGTTTCCCAGGCTCAAACATTTGTGTCATTAAAGATATCCGTTGATGTTAACATTAGCAGAGTAAATGTGTTCCATCAGCATGTAGAAACGTTTACAGATATCTCTGGAAACACAAACCGAAACTGTCTCTATTTTCTGCTAGTTATAACTTGTAATAAAGTTGTTACATCTTGAACAAATCCACAAGGGCCGTGACGAGGATTCGAACCTGCGTCCGGGAGCATCCCAGACACTGCCTTAATCGACTGAGCTACGACAGGGTAAAAGGGTTGAAACCGAAGTTCTACTGAACTTACTGGATCCCGTAGTGTTACATCTTGGCTTAATGTGTTTATGACGTGTTAGAACGTTGTTACAACTTGCTATATTGGTTGTTATAACTGGTTAGGAGGTGTTAAAATTTGTTCGAACGTTGTACCAACGTCGTAGTTTCGGTGTGTGTTTGGCGGGATATATTCTTCCTTTCAGCTTAGTGAGGTGTACGGAGGTACTTGTTGTTGTTCTTTTATATTCAGCTACTCGGAAGAAAAGTTCCAAGTAGCACGGGCTATGGTGAGCCCGCAGTGGACTTACCTGGCAGTAACTCCACGGAGGTACTGAACCACTCAGCTTATACTGATGTGGAGGGACATGATGCATACTCACCTAGTTGAGCTTGCAGAGTTGAGCATGACCGTGTTAATGACGCTATTCGAACGTCATTGGCTTAATGCTGTGACTCCTCACTAGGCTAGCGATGAGTCACAATAACGTGGCTGAAGTATGTTGACCAATCCACACACTAGAAAATGAAGGGACGACGCAGTTTCGGACCGTCCTGGACCATTCTCAAGTCGAAACGTCGTTGTCCCTTCATTTTCTAGTGTGTGGATTGGTCAACAGTCTTCACTAGTTTTTCTTATCATATTCACATATAAAGTTATGTATTGAATTGGCCTGGACAATGTCTTTATCTAGTCCGTTCCACTTGTTTACGGCTTTGAGACTGATTTTTTTTCTGACTTCCCTATTACTCATCTGTGTTAACGGCTTCCAACTATGTCCTGTCGCTCTACTATTTATCAATTTGAACATTGCTTCTATTTCTAATTTGTCAGTTTCCTTTAGCATCTTGTACGTTGTTATCATATTTGCCATAGTCCTTATTTCTCCCAGTGTAGTGAGGTCTAGTTCTTTCAGTCTTTCTTCATAGTTCAGTCCCCTTAGCTTGACAAGTCTTGTTGCATATTTTTGGACCTTTTCTAATTTTCCTATGTGCTACTTTACGTAGGGGGTTTCATACTGGGGGCAGCATACTCAATAATAGGTCTCACAAACGATGTATACAACGCTTGGAAGGGATTTTTGTCCAAATTCCTGGAAAATAACGAGACGTTTGCCAGTATGACACAAGTTGCCCTCGTTATTCTGCTGTTGTGTGCCTCTGGTGTTAAGTCTCGAGTAACGTCCACTCCTAAATTTTATCTTTTTCAGAAATTGAAAGTTGCCTTCCCTTCCATCCTGTATTGTATTTGAGAGCTATTTGCCTAAACTCCAGCCCTTACATTTGTCAGGGTTAAAGTCTAGTAGCCATTTCTCAGACTATCTCTGGAGATTGTCTAGTTCATTTTGTTATGTACTGCAGTCCTCCTCGGTTCTTATTCGCCTCATAAGCTTAGCATCGTCAGCAGACATGGGTAAGAATGAGCTTACTTTCTCAGATCATTTACATATGTTAGGAACAGGATGGGTTCCTAAGTACCGACCCTTGAGGTACTCCACTCGTTACCTCTTTCCATTCTTATAGCATTCCTCTTACTATGACTCTTTAGATGCTTCCTGAAAGGCTCTCTTTACCCACTTTAGAACTGTGTGTCGAGTAGAGAAATTTTAGAATGTGCTTTTGAGTGCTAATCAAGTAATCATAATGTTTAATATATAATTTGCATACTAGATTCATATTATGACACATGAATCAATGCACAATTAAGTAAATGGTCAAAAACGAGAACGTGCGCCTAGCCACGTTCAATAACCAGTGTGCCAAAGCTTCGTAAACAAAACCATACATGTATCGCTCGAAAATATCATTCATACAGAAAAAAAATTATTCATGGGAATTTGCGACCAATAATGTCACGGAATATTCGCTTCTCAGAAATAACACGACGGTAGAGTTCCGAGACGCGAACTTTAGTAGTGTTCCAAGTGACGGAGAATGAACAAGAAGTGAGAGCGAACGCGGCGAACAAAGGAGAAGTGAGAGCGAACACAACGAGTGAACAAAAAAGCGAGAGCGAACACGGAGAACGAACAACGGGCATTATCAAGCGCTAACACTTCTCCATTCTTGGCGTGTCAGAATTTCCACGTCAAGGGATTTTACTGCCCTCAGTTATACACGTCCAGTGAGCCGGCGCTGAGCGACCCCCATTAAGACCCATTTCCCCCTCGGAACAGCGCGTTGCATTTGTAAACACCAAACTGTGCAGAAATAAGCTACATTACTCAGAAACAAAAGCCGTGACAAAAGTCATTAACTTTTTCCTTTTTGTTTTGTTTTTGGCTTTCAGGTTAAATTATATTTTTGGAGATGGATAAATGGCACAATTTCTTGGTAAAGTGGAAGGAGTGAACGTTGAGAGACATTTGTTTATCATGGTGAGGAGCATTTGACGTTTGATATAATAACAATTCTCGTTGTGTGTGTGACAGGAGGCCTACATTTAGGCCTATTTCGAGGTTGCCCCAACGTCGAATTAACGACCTTTTCCAGCATGCAACCCACAAGAGTTGCCTAACTCCTGGGTACCTATTTACTGCTAGGTGAGTAGTCGCATCAGATGAAAGGAAACATGTCTTCCGCTCGTGGGGTCGGTGTTAGAGTCTCCTAGTGCCCAGGTAAATGATATATATATATATATATATATATATATATATATATATATATATATATATATATATATATATATAATCTCCACCAGTGTAGGGTCGAGTTTTGCTCTCTCGCTTTTTACCATTTTGTTCTCGCTTTGAGATATTCAAAAGTTACATGTATATGATAACAAATGGTCCAAGGTTATGAGCCTCTTGCAACATTTAGGATTCCGAGCGGGTACCGACCAGAAGATAAAAGCTTGTTATTATTAGTCAGGTGCAAAAACAGCGTAGAATGACCCATAGGTCCTGTTTAAGGCTATAGCTATTCCATTATAGTCACACACACTCGAGTATCGCTTATGGCAGGTGTACTTAGCCAGCCTGCTGGCAAGGCTGAGTCTGTATGTCAGCGACGCGCGCTTGATATTGACCTGTAAGTGAATCTTGCATCATGCTGATCTGTCAGCGGCATCATCTTCACACTGATCAGTCAGCGGCAGCATCTTCACACTGATCTGTCAGCGGCATCATCTTCACACTGATCTGTCAGCGGCATCATCTTCACACTGATCTGTCAGCGGCATCATCTTCACACTGATCTGTCAGCGGCAGCATCTTCACACTGATCTGTCAGCGGCATCATCTTCACACTTATCAGTCAGCGGCAGCATCTTCACACTGATCTGTCAGCGGCATCATCTTCACACTGATCTGTCAGCGGCATCATCTTCATATTAACCAATCAGCCAAAGAGCCTCATCTGATGAACTCCAAAGTTGACCATTCACCAGGGATACACACAGCCGGCTGGGGATACACACAGCCGGCTGGGAATACACACAGCAAGCCGGGGATACACACAGCCGGGCGGGGATACACACAACCGGCCGGGGATACACACAGCCAGCCCGGGGGATACACACAGCCGGCCTGAGGATACACACAGCCGGCCCGAGGATACACACAGCCGGCTGGGACTCTTGACTCAACACGACACTGCCGGATATAACACCGAACACACGGAAATAGACAAACAGAAAGACGTACGAATATAGATAATAATAATAAGATAGATACAGACGGAAATTGACAAAAGAAGCAAGAGACAAAGAGGAAAAAAAATAACCAATGCGAGAAAACCAAAGAGATATAGATAATGAAGAAGTCGGGGAAAAAATATATAAATAGACGAGATGAAGAGAGTGACACAATAGTGTGACAGAGATGGGAAAAAACTGAGTAATAATGATTTAAAAGAGAGAGAGAGAGAGAGAGAGAGAGAGCCAGAGTCACCTCTCCCAAGCATCATCGTTGGGAGAGCGAGTGAGAGCAAGGTCTTGGCCATCTCACCCTCGCGTCACCTCAATTGAGAGTGAAGCGGTCTTGTGCAGGTTGAAGAGGACCGAGGTACCCCAGGGAAGCACTAATGAAGTGTGGCATCCTGCTAATGAATGACTTTATCACAACAACTCCTAACAATTCAAACAATTGCACGGTGTCTCGCTTTCCTCAGTTTTGCATACACATTGAAGTCTTATTTCAGAAACGTTTTGCTACGTGTAGAGGCTCGAATGTTTATATTGTAGATGGCATTGCTTTTTATCTGTTTTTTTAAGGCATTTTTTACAACTTTTTTACAGATTTTGTAAATCTCTTGTAGCGAGTCATAAACTTGAAATTCTGTTACAATATTAAGCCAGTCAATATTAGATTTTTTCTAAATGCTTATTTTTTTAGAAAGTCTAGATTCCTTACTCATTTTTCAGACTGTTACTGGGCTCACTTGATCGTTCCAAAAATGCTACCCACAACAGTCGCCTGACTCCCTGGCACCTGTTTACTGCTAGGTGAGCAGATGCATCAGGAGTAAGGAAACGTGTCATCACGCCAGGAGTCGAAATCAACTGCTTGAACGGGTTCAATAGGTTGTTACCTGACTGCGGTAACTCCAGGTATATCTACTCCAGAATAGATCGACAGGTTTCGCTTGTAGAAGTACTCTATAAGGTAATGAACTGCTAGGTGCTTTGTTGGGCTGTCACTATCATTATGATAATGACTCTCACCATCATCATTCACTCTCGCCATGCATACCGGTATCATCATCATCACCCCCCCTTCACCATCACCCTCTTCACCATCACCATCCTCATTATCGTTGCCCGCATCCTCATTATCAGCCTCATCATTATCATTACTCTCACTATCATCACCCCAATTATCATTCATATCCCTGCAAAGAAAGCAAAACGCCTCATCTTCATCCACACTATCATCTCCCTCACCACTCTCGCTATAATCATCCTCACCACTCTCGCTATAATCATCCTCACCACTCTCGCTATAACCATCCTCACCATCATCATCATAACCCTCCCTCCCCCCCCCCACCGTCATCATCCTCATCCTCTTAACAATCAACATATGGACTTCACAATAAAATTAGTTTTCTCGTCATTATTGCAACAGCAACCATCACTATCAGCATCATTATCATCATTATCATCCTCATCGTCACTATTAGTTACTACCTTTTGAGGGTCTGTCAGCCGCTTCCCCACTTGCTGGTCAGCACGTGGCTGACATCTGCACTCCAGGAAATGCCTGATCTCTGGATAACAGCTTGCTGTTCTTGATGGCCTGACAACAGTTTGCTGTTCTTGATGGGCCAGACAACAGCTCGTTGTTCTTGATGGGCCAGACAACAGCTGGCTGTTCTTGATGGGCCAGACAACAGCTCGTTGTTCTTGATGGGCCAGACAACAGCTGGCTGTTCTTGATGGGCCAGACAACAGCTCGTTGTTCTTGATGGGCCAGACAACAGCTGGCTGTTCTTGATGGGCCAGACAACAGCTCGTTGTTCTTGATGGGCCAGACAACAGCTGGCTGTTCTTGATGGACCAGACAACAGCTGGCTGTTCTTGATGGGCCAGACAACAGCTGGCTGTTCTTGATGGGCCAGACAACAGCTGGCTGTTCTTGATGGGCCAGACAACAGCTTGCTGTTCTTGATGGCCTGACAACAGTTTGCTGTTCTTGGTGGCCAGATAACAGTTTGCTGTTCTTGGTGGCCAGACAACAGTTTGCTGTTCTTGGTGGCCAGACAACAGCTTGCTGTTCTTGGTGGGCCAGACAGCAGCTTGCTGTTCTTGGTGGGCCAGATAACAGCTTGCTGTTCTTGATGGACCAGACAACAGCTTGCTGTTCTTGGTGGCCAGACAGCAGCTGGCTGTTCTTGATGGGCCAGACAACAGCTGGCTGTTCTTGATGGGCCAGACAACAGCTGGCTGTTCTTGATGGGCCAGACAACAGCTGGCTGTTCTTGATGGGCCAGACAACAGCTGGCTGTTCTTGATGGGCCAGACAACAGCTGGCTGTTCTTGATGGGCCAGACAACAGCTGGCTGTTCTTGATGGGCCAGACAACAGCTGGCTGTTCTTGGTGGGCCAGACAACAGCTTGCTGTTCTTGATGGACCAGACAACAGCTTGCTGTTCTTGGTGGCCAGACAGCAGCTTGCTGTTCTTGGTGGGCCAGATAACAGCTTGCTGTTCTTGGTGGGCCAGATAACAGCTTGCTGTTCTTGGTGGGCCAGACAACAGATTTCTGCCGTTACAAATAATAAGTTACAAATGATACAATTTACAAGAACATACTGTTACAAATATCTTTGTAATAACAGCATGGTTACAAAGAAATTTGTGTTCTGTTCATGTAAATGAACAGAATAATTCCACAAAACTGGTTATTCGTCCCAGGACGACTGTAGTACTTTAAGGAAAAAAATTATAATTATCACTATTTAATGGTTCAGGGACTGATAGTGATCACGTGACGTCACCAGTATACTGTGCTGGTCTCAGGTTTCTAGTAAACTTCGAAATGCCATCATAAGTAAAGACTGGGTCTATTCTAAGCGAAAGAATACAATAGGGAAGATGAGAAAGGACCATAAAGACAAGGAATATGAGGAGGGTGAATAAATTCGGGAAGAGAGGCGGAGGGGGGGGGGGAAAGATGACTAGAATTGGAATATGAAGGAAGGGAAGGGAACTATCAAGAGAAAGTGTCAAACCATTACGACTATAGGAATGAGAACGAAGATGGAAATAGGGAAGGTATATGAGGATGATTGAGAGGAAGGAGGGACAGAAGGGGAAATGAGAAGAATTAGGGAAAGGGAAAGGAAACTCTACTTCAAGAAGGGAGTGGAAGCATGAAGGGACGGTGAGTGTGTCAATGCAGTGGCTGAGGAAGAACTGGATGGTATACGGAAGAGCAGGAGGCATAGGAGTATAGAGGCATAGGAGTATAGAGGCATAGGAGTATAGAGGCATAGGAGTATAGAGGCATAGGAGTATAGAGGCATAGGATGGTACAGGAAGAGGGGACATTGGAGCAGTAGTTAATATGAGCAACCCGTTCTCATAAAATAACGTCACTTTTCGCTCGTGAGCGCGCTATGGCCAAAAATGGACATGATATGAAAAGAAATCGACTCACGAAAGTGACGTACTGTTCCGTTTTCTGTTTGAGTCCTCCATTATTATTAACATCTTTATTGACAAAATTTGAGTCGTCCGGCTTACTCGGTTAAATTAGGAGAAGAAACTTTCAATTAACGATTTTCATGACGTTTTGAAACCTTAGGAGAACTTCCTGCCCTCCTAACCTACCAGAGGACCCTTAACTTGCTGGTTTTGGGGATAAAAATCCAAAATTTAATTAATTAATTTCAATTATTTTTCATTTTCAAATTACGTCCATTTTCTGCCATACGGGCAAACGGCCAAATTCAGACACAATTTATAAGAGAACAGATTGCAACAGATGTAATTGTGAGGTTCGCAGGACCTCTTGAGTGGGCAAAAAATCAGATTAAAAGAAGTATTAATGGAGATTGGATCTTAGTAGGGTAAGGTGTAGAATGCATTTCATAAGCGCCGGTTGACCCGTGGAGTCGCTGGTGTTGTGTTGATGACCGGCCACTGTCATCAATCCCTAGTGCTTCCCTAGCATTCCAATCCCTAGCATTCTGTGTTAATCTCAGGGGTCCTGGTACCCACAGTAAATATCACTTGCTCTTAATTTTGCTTACCCTGATTTCTTCGCCATTCTTTGATTGGGAGAAACAGTTCTGCATATACATTCCAACAGTCATGGAACGGAACCTACAACCTCATCAATTAAATAAATTGTGTTTATATGTGGATGTGAGTGGATGTAGATGTGGTGTGTATCAACACTCACCAGTACCAGCAACACTATCCACACCATTACCAGCAACACTAACCACACCATCACCTGCAACAGTAACCACACCATCACCTGCAACAGTAACCACACCATCACCTGCAACAGTAACCACACCATCACCTGCAACAGTAACCACACCATCACCTGCAACAGTAACCACACCATCACCTGCAACAGTAACCACACCATCACCTGCAACAGTAACCACACCATCACCTGCAACAGTAACCACACCCTCACCTGCAACAGTAACCACACCATCACCTGCAACAGTAACCACACCATCACCTGCAACAGTAACCACACCATCACCAGCAACACACACAGACACCATCACCAGCAACACACACAGACACCATCACCAGCAACACACACAGACACCTTCACCAGTCTCACCAAGACTAACAACGAGGCAGCTCATCACCCCTGAACTAACAAAATAATCAACACAACAAAAACAAACTTCCAAAATTAGCTATAAATCGTAAACGATCTAAACAAAAGTCTAAGAACCAATCCATTAAATAATATTTCTGAGAGAGGAAGGAAGCCTCACAAGATTCATCCCCTGGAGAGGCTCTCCCAAGGCCACTCTAGATCAGCGAGAGGGAACACACCCCACACAAACATCAACATTAAGAAGATGAATCGATTGGCTTCGAACAACTAGCCCATTCTTTTTCCTTCTCTCCTACTCCTTCCCACCTCCCTCACTCATCCCCCTTCCCCTCTTCTCACTAGCTAGATGCCGAGGGCCAAGCACATCATCGGAGGCGACAAACCCCTTACCCTCATCTTCCCCTACGTACCCCTACCTTCCCACCCCCTTCCTCTCTCTCCATCCCCAAGACCTCCAAAAAAGAGATATTGGATTTTTATACGATTTTCTAATCAGTTTCACTCCTTCCGCTTCGGTTAACTGCTCGGACGACAGGAACTCGGTGGGTGGATGAGAAATATTCAAGAACCATTAATATTACCGTTTTTTGTATTTTTACACCTATACGATTGGGTGGCATTATGATTGGATCAGCTCATAAGCTGAGACCTTAGAAGTTTCCGTTATGAATGTCCGGCGTGTGGACTCCGAGATTAGGGCGAGGGCGAGTTATTTGTCGGGGGGGGGGGGGTGTTGGTAAAGTTGCGTGGCGAGTGTATAAACTTACAGCCCAGCGGCCATGAGCTCTTGGTTGACGGCGGCTAAAGCTGCTGTTGTTGCTTCTGCTTTCTCGGCTACCACGGCTTCTGCTCCTGTTGATGTCTCGCCTTTTTTTTTTGTATAGTTTCAGCCAGGCGAAACCCGGCTGGCCTTGCCTCGCTACATTTGTTTTTCTCAGCTTTGCCAAGATGGCTGGAAGGGAAGACGTATTAGACAGCACCGACACACACATTGTCCCCCGCCACGCTGTGATCTCGTATCCTAGGATAACATTTGTGTGGATGTCACCAGCGCAGGCACGACGTCTGGAGAGCTACAAATGGCTTGCAACAGGAGTGCCGGGAGTGGCTTGCAACAGGAGCGCCGGGAGTGGCTTGCAACAGGAGCACCAGGAGTGGCTTGCAACAGGAGTGGCTTGTAACAGGAGCGCAGGACGCGTACTAAGCCCAGGGACAGTGCATCAGACGATAGCCATTAAGCTTATAACGGTAAGACTCTTCTTTACGACATCGTCCTCCTCTAGGATGGTAATACAGTCAAAGTCTCTTACTGGTGAAAGTAATGTTAATTGTTAGACCGTAACTCGTCTTATTTTTCCCAGTAGCTGGAGAGGAAATATGAAGGAGGAGGAGGAAGAGAAGGAAGAGGCAGAGGAAAAGTAGGTGGTAAGAAATCTGTCTTTAAGGTATAAACCAGTACTTACATATCAGTGACTACAGGTAAGTGAGGTCTAGCTCTTTTTATCTCACCTAATTAGCGATGTTGTACCTGTTGCGTTATCAGTTAATTATCCTGACGTTCGAAATCTTCATCGAATCTCATCTTAAACTTGGGGATGGAGGTGGCTTCCTCAGCCTCTTCACTCAAGGCGTTGGACGTGCAAGGTGCGGGAATTTCCTCACATTTCTTCAATTCGTCAGCGTTTCCGGCTGCCAGTTTATCAGTGGATATTTGTGTAACTTAATGGTAATTATATTTCTCACTGGGTCTTT